GTCTAAGCCTCCACTCAAGGTTAAAAAGTTTCAATTATAGATGGTAAACAAATCCAAACAAATGGTTGCCACCACAGAGCAAGCAGAAGGCTCAGTTGTAGAAGGTAAATAAATTCCAGATACCAGGGCCTCTGCTTGGGTGGTCAGGGGGCGTGGCTGGCCTGCAAACCACCACAGGCTCCTCACTCAGGCTGATGCTTCTCTCTCTCCTTATTCCTTCCTCTCTGAAATCAATTTAAAAACATGTTGTTTTTTTAAATTGTGTTAGAGAATAAATCCCAAAAGTTCTCATCACAAGAATTATGAATGTTAATTAAACTTATTGTGGTTATCAGTTTGCAGCATAAGTCACGTTCTGCAGTATACTTTAAACTTGTGTGTCAGTTATATCCCAGTAAAACACAAGAAAAAAACAAAAAGAGAAAATGTTGGAAAACATTAAGAATAATCGCCATTTTATCAACATCAAAAAACCATTTAGGAGGAAAATTGTGGAGAAAATATATTCTAAAAAAGTGCAAAAGTCTTGATTTAATATTTTTCACTTGATTTGATATTTTTCAAAAAAGACCATCATATTTCTCATCATTTCTCAGTTTGCAGTGTAAGAAGAGATGCTTGTGAAAATAGCCCCGGCCCTGCATCTTCAGTTGGAGAGGGTGTTCGATCTTTTATCTGAGAGTCGCTCATTCAGGAAAGGGTCTGGAGGCTTTAACATGGAGCATTTGTTTTTGAGTGGTGGTGTCAGGTGACTTCAAATCCACAAAAACAACTTACTGACTCCTGTATTCTCACTTTTTTTTTTTTTTTTTTTTTTTTTTTCTTTTTTTTTCCCACTGCTCAGTTTGTCCTTCTCATAGAGAGGTAGGTAAGCAGATTGTGGAATGGTGTCTACAGAGTATGGAGCTCTGTTCTGTCATAGATGTATACATCTTCTAGACCAGCGGTCGCCAACTTTTCAGACCTCACGGACCACCGGTTGGCGACCACTGTTGTTAAAATTAGTGAAGAACTCCTGTGGCTGTCCCTCTTTGAGTAGAGGCAACATGTGCTTTGGGCAGTTATGGGATGCAGCACTGGTAATAGCTAGCCCTTACTTCTGTCACCATCGTACAGCATGAATCAGATGTCTGTGGCTGTCCACTTACCCCTCCACCCTACCTTCCCCAGAAATGAACAGGCCCCAGAACTGTGCTGGCTGCTGTTTTTTGGTCTTTGGTGACAACCTCATTGTCCCATCGAGTGGCACTACTTCATTATTTGTTGACTTGTTGATGTGATCTTCATTAGTATTTTCCATCCCCTCCCTTGCTCTTTTTTCATATTTGACTCTGTTAGTTTATGACAAGGAAACACTTGACTGCAAACAGAACTCTCCCCTCCATCCTCTACCCCTGTTGTAATTGAGTGTTATGAAAATCTGATTCCTCTCTCCTGTGTTTGGTTTGGTTAAATCTTCAGCTAATAGTTTCTAGAGAAATTCTGGAAAGAACTCCTCTAAAATATCTAGAATACGCCGAAACCGGTTTGGCTCAGTGGTAGAGCGTTGTTCTGCGGACTGCAAGATCCCAGGTTCGATTCTGGTCAGGGGCATGTACGTTGGTTGCGGGCACATCCCCGGTAGGGGGTGCGCAAGAGGCAGCTGGTCGATGTTTCTCTCTCATCGACGTTTCTGGCTCTCTATCTCTCTCCCTTCCTCTCAGTAAAAAATCAATAAAATATATTTAAAATATAAATAAATAAAAAACATAAAATATCTAGATTACTCTGGGTAGTGTGCACATATGCACCAAATAACTCTGAATCCATATCCGAAAATAACATCAGTTATAGAAACTGTCTGGGCATTTTGAAGAGATGGGGAAATCTGTAAGATTATCTTATTTCATGTGATCTGGTAGGATCTTTCCTTAACCTCTATGAATAATACTTTCTTGCTATATATACATGTTGTTTTATTTACATAAGATAAATTTATTATGAATTGAAGTTTGTTGTAAGCCTTAATTATTTCAATCAGAATATATAACAATTTTAACTTTAGGCTACAAAATTCTGAGTTTTAATGAGAAAATTTATGTCTACATAGCAGAGGACAAAGGCAGGTATCTAATAACCACATGGTTTCTCTTCTCGTAGCATTAAAACCACAAGTGATATCCTTTTGTGTAAATATTTAACAGTTTCTCCTTTAATCTATTAGTAATTTCTGTCTGCTGTAATCCATTGAAATCTCTTCCTCCTGCCACTGTTTTGATTACTTTGAAAGCTATGATTTTAAGACCTTGTCCTAGTCTAACCATGTCCAGGTTTTACTTAAATTATGGGAAACACAGTTTGATTCATATTAAAAACTAACATTTCAAAAATAATGTTGTTTGTGGTTTTTTTAAAAAAATTTTTATTTTTATTTTAAAATATATTTTATTGATTTTTTTACAGAGAGGAAGAGAGAGGGATAGAGAGTTAGAAACATCGATGAGAGAGAAACATCGATCAGCTGCCTCTTGCACACCCCCTTCTGGGAATGTGCCTGCAACCAAGGTACATGCCCTTGCCAGAATCGAACCTGGACCTTTCAGTCCTCAGGCTGACGCTCTATCCACTGAGCCAAACCGGTTTCGGCAGTTTTATTTTTATTTTTAATGTTTTCATTGATATTTAGAGAAAGAGAGAGGGAGAGAGAGATAGAAACATCAATATGAGAGGAACATTGATTAGCTGCCTGCCTCCTGCAGGCCTCATACTGGAGATGGAACCCACAACCCGAGTATGTACCCTGACCGGAAATTGATCCAGCAACCTTGACAATGTTCAAACAACTAAGCCACACCAGCTAGACTTTTTGTGATTTATATGATTCAGTAACCTCTTTAATATAAATAGAGTTTATTTGATATTCTAGTATATAGATTGATTTCTATATGCCTTTTCTTTTCAAACCCAGAAATTTCAGATTGAGTATATACAGTTAAAAAGTCCTTCTCATTGGGAGTAGTATTTTAGCAGGGGCTTGAAAGGAAGGGAAAAACCTGATACCTGCCATTATTGGAAACTGCAGGAAGGTAGATCCTTGTTATGTAGTGGCAGAAAGCTTAAAGCTCGGCTACATTATGAAAGTGATCCACATGTCCTCACTAAGGAGGTTTCTAAGCAAAGTATTGAAGGTGCCATGTAGTTTCTTCTTTTAGTAAATGCAAAACTAGAGAGAGTAATCAAGAGGAAAAGACTGCTAAACAAAAAGAAACCAGAACCTAGTGGTTTGAAAATTTTATGCCTCTGGAGAGGCAAAAGATGCTAAAATTAAGAATGGCTGTTGAAGGAAGTTCAGATTCATTATGAGTTTTCTTAGCATCAGGTATCTCTCTTATATGATTGCAAAATTATGTTCATATGTGTGATTGTTATTTGATGTTCACATCGAATTGAACCCAGAGTTGTACCTTTTATTTCTGCCTCAATCCTAGATTGTAAACTATTTGAAACGAGTCTATTTCAGCAAGTTGAAGAATCCTATTAAGGGAGCCTCCGTTTCCCCTGCTCTATGCTATAGAGTAGGTGTTTCCTTCAACGGAAAGTAAATATAGTGTGTGAAAATAACACCTTACTTGACAAATGAGGAAATCTGAAATAACTAAGTAGTAGTACAACAGGAAAGAACCCAGATTTCTTTTTTCTTTTTCTTTTTTTTTTTTCTTTTTTTTTGTTTATATTGCTTTCAGAGAGGAAGGGAGAGGGAAAGAGAGACAAAAACATTAATGATGAAAGAGAACCACTGATTGGCTGTCTCTTGCACACCCTCTTCTAAAGATTGAGCCTGCAACCCAGGCATGTACCATGACCGGGATTTTAACCGTGCCCTCCTGGTTCATAGGTCCCACGCTCAACCACTGAGCCTGCCAGACGGGCGAATCCAAATTTTTAAATGTCCAACCCAAGGAATTTTTTTTTTTAGAGTGGTCTGCTTGATATAAACCTGAGTGATCATCATTATCATCTAAGGTGCTTTAAAAAGTATACTTGTAGCTCTGAGAATTTTTGAAGAGGGCTATGTTAAGTTACGTTAGGAAGCCACTGAACCTTGGCCACATTACCATTCATTTATTTTTTAATTGTATGAGTAAATCATGTTTAATAGACTTTTCCAATTGGGATTATATTGCTAATTATATTTAATACCTTCATCATTATTCATAAGGAAGAGAAAAAAGGGAGGGGAAACAAGAAGGCGAGAGAGGGGAGAGAATGGAGGGTGTATGTATGTGTGTTGTGTGTTTAATTTTCCAAAGGATAGTGGATGACAGCCTTTTATACTGACCAGGGGGAAAATAACTACTTTTAATAACTAGATCGCAGTTTTGGTTATGTCTGATGAGAAGATGTAAAAGTGACGTCGTGTGGCTCATATCTTATCAACAGAAGTTTTATGAAATGATTTAAAAGAGCAAAGGCAAGAAGAAATATTGGGTTTGTTTTGTAAAAAACCTTTACACTACAGAGAGCAAACTGTTGATGAAATTGGAATGATCAATGGCATCTGTTCTTGTGCTTGCTGTAGAAAAGGTACTAAAGATGTGCAATAGTGCTGGGTGTAGAGTTGAGACCCGGGGTGGTGGTATTTTAGAGTGAAATTCACCATCTCTGGTGTAGCCAGTTCTTCTCTAGATATTGCATACAATCTGTAGTATATATAGAAAATTCCATTAAATGAATTGAGGATTATTATTACACAGGCAGTGTATTTATTTTAAAAACTCCTGAAACATAGGAATTTATTGCTTCTATTATATCTGTGTTTCCCTTATATCACAGTGTTGCTTCAGTAATTTAAAATGAATCAGAACTCTTCTATACATTTTACAATGAAATTATTTTTAGAAATCTAATTTAAATAATTTTATTATTCTGATGAATATTTGGTTAACATAGCTTCTTATAAGATTTTATAATGTTAATTAATTTCTTACTTTTGTCCATATTACTTTTTCAATGTCTTACAGTGCCTATACCAACCAATCTTACAATAGAGGCCTATAACTTCAATCCTATCCTATCTTGGAATTACCCAATTATGGCACAGAAGCCTGTTTTTACAGTACAGGTAAAAATCTATGGGTGAGTGTTACTCTTTTATCCTTTTTACTCTTGTTTTGTCTATGTCCTTGCATATTTCATAACTGTGTTCCCTCCCATTATCCTTCCTTCTGTTGTGGCAAAACTTCCTGAACTGCTTGTAGAATTCCAGAGTGCTAACGTTCAAATTAGTTCTTATCAGAAAACTTCCTGCCTCTTAGTTCTTCTGTCAGAATTGAAGTAGACAAGTGTCACTAAGTTCCCAGATTTCTTTTTACCTTTTCAAAAATTTTTTATTTATGTTATTTTTCTTAAATGTATTTTTATTAATTTTAGAGAGGAAGGGAGAGGGAACGAGAAATAGAAACATCAACAATGAGAGAGAATAATTGATTGGCTTCCCCTGTGGGGATTGAACCCCAACCCAGCATGCACCCTGACTGAGAATCAAACCATGATCTCCTGGTTCATAGGCTGACACCCAACCACTGAGCAACACCAGCCAAGCTTAATTTATTTTTTAAATCCTCACCTGAGGACATGCTTACAGAGAGGAAGGGGCTGTTGGGGCTGGGGGGAGTAGAGAAACATTAATGTGAGAGAGAAACATTGATCAGATGCCTTCTGCATGTGCCCTGACTAGGGATCGAACCTGCAACCCAGATTATGTGCCCTGATCTCAAATCGAACAGGCAACCTCTTGGTGTATAGGACAAAACTTAACCAACTGAGCCACTCCAGCCAGGCTGACTTCACAGATTTAAGGCACAATAAATAAATAAAGCTTTCCGTACTCTATTAAAAATAATGACATCTTTTTATAGTGTACATGTATTATTCAGTAAAAGAAAAATTTCAAAAAACTTTTTACAGGTGTTAGGAGTCTTTGTAATGGTTTGATTCTGTGAGTAATGGTCATATTAATGGAAACAAGTTGTATAAAGACCAGATTTTTAATAAATTTTTTAATAAAATCATTTTATGGAATATGATTTGTACAGAGCTTGTAATTTGAATTGAGCCTCTTTTTATAAAGGAAATTATAGTACTTTTGACTAAAGAGTAAGGGCTTTCTTCCTATTTTGTCTAGCTTCTTCATCCTATTATTTTTTTCTTTTTTTAAAAGAATAGTTTGATTTTTTTAGAGAGAGGAAAGGAGAAGAGAGAAACATTGATGTGACAGCATAACATCAGTTGGCTGCCTCCTGCACGCTCCCTATTGGGAATCGAGCCTACAATCCTGGCATGTGCCCTGACTGGGAATTGAACCAGCAACCTCTTGGTGCACAGAACAATGCCCAACCAACTGAGCCACACTAATAAAAGTTACCTTTGTGTTTTTTATTCCTCTTTATTTTAGGGAGGATGAATGGTTTGATGCCTGCAATACGTCTCAGCATCACTGTAACATCATTTTCATGATTAAGAATCCAGAATATTCTCTCTGGACCAGAGTTAAAGCTAGGCTTGGTCAAGAAGAATCAGCCTATGCAGAATCAGAAGAATTTATTTTGTGCCAACAAGGTGAGTAGAACAACTTTAAACTTGAGAGTATTTATATGTATCATTTGAGATTTTAAATTTGAGAGTATTTATATATATATATTTGCTTTTATTAGCAGTTGTTAAAAGTTATTACAATGCCCAAAAAACATTTGGAGCAATTTAGGGAATTCGTGTCTTCCTCTTCTCCCAAGTCTCATAAAATAGGGCTAAGGTGCCCATCACTTTGCCCCTACTAAACTATTATATTATATTTCCATTCTATTTCAATATGTGGATTAGTGCTGTCCAATTAGAATCTGCACTGCCCTGCCCCTTCCTGTCTTGGTCATTCCTTTATAAGTCACATTCACTGAGGACTTTGGCAGCTTCTTTATCTTACTTGTCTACCTTAAGTCCTCAAGGTTGTGGGAATTTTAATACCAACTTCATACTTTAAAAAAAAAAAACACCAGAATTCTGTAATCTCTTTAACCCCAGTTATTTTCAGCTCTTTATGCTTCCAGCATCCTGTTGCCATAGTTCCTTTTTTGACTAAAGTTTTCCCTTGTAGCTTTTATACCCTCACTTCTGGTTAAACAAAGTCTTTAGTCACCTGACTGCTCCCTATGCTTCAGTGCCTTGCCTTCCAGCTTTAGTTCCTCACTGTTCAGCTTCATGCTTCATTACCTCAATGAAGCAATGAAGTCCTTCAGTGCCTTGCCTTCCAGCTTTACTTCCTCACTGTTCAGCTTCATGCTTCATTACCTCAACCACCGCTGCCTCCTGCTCCTACTTTCTGGATTTTGCCTACTTGTTCTCTTCCACAACCCATTCTCTACTTGCCCTTAAAATAGTTTTATTCCCCAGAGATCATGATTTTTTTTTCATCCACAACTATACCCTCTGTACGTCAGATTTTTCCCAGAAGACTTATCAAAGGCATATTTTATGCCAGAAAATACGGTAGGCCCTGAGGATACATGGGCGAGTAAAAATAAATCTGCCTGGCACACAGTAGGAATACAATAAATACAATAAATATGTGAAAAATAGTTAAATGGTTCACCAATGAAGTCCCCAACATCAAAGACACATCATAAATATTTCTGGAATGAATCAATATCTAGTTCTGACTTTCACAATTAAAATTGAATATATTCAGCAGATTTTTATAGAGCTTTCATGCAAGATATCCGTAGTGTGTAGATAAAAAGTTATTGCAGCCGGGACCGGTTTGGCTCAGTGGATAGAGCGTCAGCCTGCGGACTGAAAGGTCCCAAGTTCGATTCCGGGCAAGGGCATGTACCTTGGTTGCAGGCACATACCCAGTGGGGGGTGTGCAAGAGGCAACTGATCAATGATTCTCTCTCATCGTTGTTTCTAACTCTCTATCCCTCTCTCTTGCTCTCTGTGAAAAATCAATAAAATATATTTTTTTTAAAAAAGTTACTGCAAAGGTTTAAAGATAACTAAAACGCCTTTTTTAAATCATGTTTTTAGAAAACCATTTTTAAAAATATTTCTGTTGATTTCACAGAGAAGAAGGGACAGGGAGAGAGAGATAGAAATATCGTTGATGAGAGAGAATCATTGATTGGCTGCCTCTTGTACTCTCCCCTAATGGGGATTGAGCCTGAATCCTGAGCATGTGCCCTGACCAGGAATTGAACAGTGACCTCCAGGTTCATGGGTCAACTCTCAACCACTGAGTCACACTGGCCAGGTGAAAACAGTTGGGGGTTTTTTTGTTTTGTTTTTAATCTACAGAACCAAAGGTAAAGAAAAAATTACTTCTATTATATCAAGGTTTGTTTGTTTGTTTTTTAACCAGGATTCATGACCACCGATTTTTCTTTAGGACTTGAAATGAATTTAAACTGTTAAAGAGGACTTTAGATAAGAATACTTCTTGACTGAGAAGATATAAACATTTCTTTATTAAGTACACTTAGAATCTTCTAGATCAGCGGTTCTCAACCTGTGGGTCGCAACCCCTTTGGGGGTCGAACAACCCTTTCACAGGATCGCCTAAGACCATCGGAAAACACAGATATTTCCATTATGATTCACTAACAGTAGCAAAATTACAGTTATGATAGCAACAAAAATTTTATGGTTGGGGTTCACCACAACATGAGGAACTGTATTAAAGGGTCGCAGCATTAGCAAGGTTGAGAACCACTGTTCTAGATTTTTTTGGAATGGTTTAAATGTGGCTCTGCTTTAGAATAGCAAAAAGAGTAGGTGGTTTGATTTTGTTTATTTTATACAGTCCTATATAATAAAAGGGTAATATGCACATAATTAAACAGCAGAACCAAACAACCATCAAAGCTTAATATGCTAATGATATGCTAAGGCTGCTCAACTGCTGCTATGACATGCATTGACCACCAGGGAGAAGGTGCTCTGACTGGTAGGTTAGCTTGCTGCATGAGTCCAGCTGATTGGACTGAGCAGGATGGGCCAGACATGCCCTGGAACCCTTCCATGGTCCCTCCCTGGACTGATCATGCACTGGTGGGGTTCCTCCGCCTGGCTTGTGCCCTCTCGCAATCCAGGACCCCTCGGGGGATGTCGGAGAGCCATTTTCAGCTTGATCCTGCAGGCCACTCCCTTGGGAGGACTCCAAAAAGCAGGACTCATAGCTGGCAAATGCTGCTATAGCAGCACAAGCCTCTCCTGATCGGGACTGATTGGGCACAAGCCCTCAGCAGGCACAGTGGGGTTGGGATGATTGGGAGCAGCAGGTAGGAGTTGCAGGCGCCATTGGACTGTGGGTTTTGGCCCAATCCCAGCAGGCCACCCAGAAGGACCCCACCCTGCACAAATTCGTGCACTGGGCCTCTAGTGTACTATAAAGTTCCAGGGCCAACTAATTGTACTTCTTTTTTACCTTCCCCCCACCCAGGGAAAGTTGGACCACCTAAACTTGATATCAGTCACAAGGAAGACCAACTCATTATTAATATATTTCATCCTTTAATTGTTGTAAATGGAAAAGAGCTAGGATTCATTTTTGGAGAAGATACTTGTTACACCAACTACCAAGTGTATGAGAGAATAAATGAAGGACTGGTATGTCTTTCTTGTTCATCTTTTTCAAATTGGAGAATTTCTGTCACTAACAAGTTTTTTTCCTATGCATTGTAAGAAAGTATAATGCTTACCCTAGCCGGTTTGGCTCAGAGGTTAGAATGTCAGCTCATGGACTAAATGGTCTCAGGCTTGATTCTGGTCAAGGGCATGTATCTGGTTTGCAGCCTAGGTCCTGGCCCCAGTCGGGGTGGGTGTGGGGGGCAACTAATTGATGTTTCTCTCTCATATCAATGTTTCTCTCTCTGTGTGTCTCCCCCTCCCTTCCACTCCTTCTCTAAAAATCATGAATATTCAGCCAAGACTTACCGATCGTAGGTAACAGAATAGCCCTAATATAAGATATTAACCTGTATATTTTCATTCCTTCACTGGTAACATGAGAATAAGTTTAATCTTTTCTTCCTCATTGGTAGTAATGTAAAATCACACAAAGCTATATTGGAGTCATTGTTTATAAGAGAAAAAGCTAATAGTAGTACTGTGTGGATATAATTACATCCTAGGTCTGGTGTGCAGATCACGAATTATTCTATTCCATCCAGTTGTCACAGTGCTGCCATTCCTATGTTTAACAGTATTTGTCAAGCATGTGCTCTGTGCCTTCTAGGCACCAGGAGAAAGCAGTGAACAGTACAAAGAAAACTCAAGTGATCAGTACTATGGAGAAAAAAGCAGGGAAGAGGGTTGGGCAGTAGGGTATGGGTGGTAGTGACTTTCAGTAGGGTGGTCAGAGCAGACCTCACCTGCTGGACCAGCTGTTACTACAGCCAGGGCTGGAGGAGATGAGGAGTGATCTCCATGGATCATGATGGGGAGAATGTTTCAGGCAGAGTGTGGCCAAAGGCCACCGGGCATATGCAAGGAGCAGCAAGGCTGCAGAGTATGGAAGCAGATGAGGTTAGAGAGATCCCTGGGTCACATCTCTTGCAGTATTTCCCAAAGTGTGGTACGCATACCCCCAGGGGTACAGGAAGAGTTTGGTGGGGGTACGTGTTGCACCGGAGTTTGGTGGGGATATGCACTGCACCGTGCTTAGCTGCGCCTAATTCTACGTTCTCATAAGTACGAAGGGTACTCAGCATTATGAAAATTTTAGAAGGGGTACACATATGTCAAAAGTTTGGGAAACAGGAATTTTTTTTGTTTTGTTTTTCTAAGTAAGATATTACACATCTGGAAAAGTTTAAACAGAAGAGTAACATCTGATTTAGATTTTAAAACATGACTTCGGTTGCTAGCAGAGTTGTTTCTAGAACAGTATTACTTCACTGCTTAAAACTCTAACAAATCCCCATCAGCTACAGAATAATACCTAAATTCTCTTTCCTGGCATGGCCTACAAGGTCTTCATGAATTGGCCTCTTACATTTTTTCCAGCACCCCATCTCCCTATTCCTTCCAACCTTATTTTCATTCATGCTTTGGTGAACCACTTGCGGTTCTTAATTTCTGTAAATAATATGCTCTTTCATAGAATTTTCTTCATCTTTCTCCTTTGGCAAATTTCTACTCATTCTTCAGTATTCAGCTGGCATATCATCTCCCCTTTGAATTATTTTCTGATACAGTAGACTCTTTCCTCTTCTGTAGTCTAGTTACTCCTATTTCCTTATAGATGTCCTCTTGCAGTTACATTTCTTACATTTCATTCTTATCTCTGTCTACACCCTACAGTAAGTTATTTGAGGTCAGCACCACTCTACTGCCCTTGAGTTTTCAGGCCCTAGCACAGGTGATCCACGCACTTCGACTGGTGGAGTGAATTATAAACTCCCAAAGATTGCTTCAGTCCCTTCTACATATTACTACCAAGAGATCCTGCAGCTTTTGCATAAAATCTCTATTATTCTTCCTATAAAATGCTTTTATCTCTCACCAGCTAAGTTTCTAGCGTTACAGAAATAGGACTAATAAGCCATTCCTATTTGTGTTTTTAAATTTCTAATCCCTATAAAGAATATTTTGATGGCTACATTATGCTCTGTTGAAGTAACAAATTGACTTATTATCTGATATGAACACTCTTTTTAGTCATGTACAACATTCATCACATATATGCTTTCTCCAGGTGTTTTGCCAGTGTAAATATGATGATTGGGGTGTTTTTGTGTTTTTTTTGGCAGATTAAAAAGAGCCATGAATTTTCACTGTGTTTTGTTTTCTCATATAGATTATAGATAGAATTTTAAAAGAGGATGAAGATGATTGTGACGAGACTCAGTGCAACTTTAGTATTCCAGTATCCTCACAGAATTTTAAGTACTGTATTTCAGCAGAAGGAATCTCACCTTTAATGTCCCTAAAAACTGAAATGTCCGAAGAACATTGTATTACCATTTCTGATAGTAAGAATAGTAAGAGCATAAAAGGTAAGTTCTTGTCATTTTTTCCTAAATATAAAGAGTGATAACATAGGGTAATATAAAAAAGGAGAATTTTCAATTTCAATAATCTCTGCTCTTTTAAAAATAGTTCTATTCCTCAGAGAAGTTTAAAATTACATATAAGGCCTTAAAAGATATGAAACAATCAGGTTGGAAAGCCATGTGAAAACCTTTTCATACAGAAAGAAAAATATAAAAACACATAGAACTGTGTACAAATGTCTGCATTTCAAGATTATGCATAATAATATAAATCAGTTTATTACTTCAGTATAGCAAGATTATATTCAAGATATGTATCCATGTATGTTCAACTGAGGACAGTAAGTTTAAAAACTGAATAGCAAGAATATTAATTGATTAAAGTTTTGTGACATGTGAAATGCACAAGCACTGGAAATTAATATTAAAAAATAAGTATAGATTGACTTAAATGGATTAACATTTAAAAATAATTATTTTTATTTTATCATCTTTTCCTGACCAATGAGGAAAGTAAAAAGAGGAAAAGCTCAAAAGAGACAGAGACAGAGACAGAGACAGAGACAGAGAGAGAGAGAGAGAGAGAGAGAGAGAGATAAAGAAAAGAATGCAAATAACCTAGATTTACTTTTTAAAAAAAATGCCTAAATTATAAACTATGGCTCATAGCAGCTTCCCTGCTTGCCTGTCCAATGCTTCTGAGCCCGGTGCTGGTTTCGTTATGTACTAGTAGCTCATTTTACCTTTTACTATTGTAATAATTTAATTGTTTTCATATCCTGTAACAGGTGTGACACAAGCAGTCATTTAGTAGTAACTTCCAGAATTACTATTCCAAAGAAGTAACTTTAGAATAGAAATTAAAGATAATGAAATGCCTTTTAAAGAAGCCAAATTCCATGATGATATGTAAAGTACTGTTAATTAGGAACAGAGGACTGTGGGAAAAAGTACTGAAGATTGTACTGTGAAAATAAAAAGCAGCATTAGAGAAAAATCACACCAGTGACGATAGATGTATGTGTTCTGAAACAAAAGTCGAGACTTTATTCCTTTGCAACTTTCCCTTATGTGTGTGTGTGCGCGCGTGCACGTGTGTGGTTGTGCATCTTTATAAGTATTTGCAATCTTGAAATATAAAATGTAACAGAATTCTATGGAGTGGGATTGTATTATTTAAATAATATTCTTTAAGTTCTTCTTTTGCCTCTTTAACTGAGAGAAAAGCGTAGCTCTGTAAACTTCCTATAATTTGGGGCTGTCAGGAAATTGTTAGGAAAAAGCTATTTTAGCCACATTATGTCATAATAAGATAGTCGCAGCAAGTTAAGAATTGTAAGCTGGGAAGAATATTTTGCTATCTAGGAAGGACATAATTTTTTACTCACCTCTCCTGACTTTGGTGTCAGGTAACACTCTGATCATATTACCTGATGTAATCTATATAAATAATAGTTCAGCCCTGGCCAGTATAGCTCAGTTATTTGAGTATCATCCCATGCACTTAGAGGTTGCTGGTTCAATTCATGGTTGGCCCTATGCATGGGGTTATAGACTCAATCCCCAGTAGGGGGCTTGCAAAAGGCAGCCGATCTATGCTTTTTCACATAGATGTTACTCTCACTCTTCATCTCTCTCTCAAAGCAATAAAAACATTTTTAAAAAAAAATAGTTCAAAGACATTATAACTATTTGATAATAGCAGTGTTCCATCTTAATTCTAATTTGTGGTTTTTCTTTTCTTTCAGATTCTATTTGGATTCCAGTTGGTGCTGCTCTTATACTCTTTCTAATACTTATCCTGGTAGTTGTATGTTGGAACTTGAAGATAAATCCTTTTAAGAATGAAAGAATCCCATTACCCAAGTCCTTGGTAACATATTTAAATATACTCCTTTAATTATATACACTAAAATGTTGATTTGAACCTTTTTGATACTTTCTAAAACTTTAAAAAGTAGAATGATGTTCAGCAGCAAGTCACCTACCATAAATCACTCAGACCTACCATATATCCAAAAACCACATATTTTTCACTACACACCAGGTGTCTTTTTTTTATGTGTGAGGCAAAAATACAGTTAGATAAGTCTGTTAAGGAGCTTAAAGTCTAACGGGAGAAAAAGACAAGTATTCAGTAGGTGTACTGTGTGACAGGTTTAAAAGTAGAGGTTTATATATATGTGAAAGAGGACTTAGTTTAGAGGCAGTGAAGCCTGAGCAGTCATGAGGGACAGATTGGAGTTTATCCAGTACTAAGGGACCATATGTGCTAAGGTCCAGCATCAAGAATCTATGGCTTTTGAAAATACAGAAACACTAAACTGTGGTTGGAATGCAGAAGGAAAGATGTCCAAAAGTGAGACTAAACTAGAAGTTTGACATTATAATATCTAATATTTAAAATTCTTTGTATGATGAAAACATTTAAAGGCTAATAATTACAATTTTTGAATCACATATGATAGGAATAACATCTGTGATATGCCAAGGGCCCATTTAAATTTATTATGAATACATTACATTTAAGTAAAGTGGATAATAACTATGAACAAGTAGTAGACAATTCACATATTATAGTCCTCATTCGTACTATTAATTAAGCACAAAACAATTTCACAGTAAGCCATTTTATACCCACTAGAGAAGAAAAAATAAACTTGAATATCCAGGAGTAGCAGTAGTAAAACTGGTCATATAGCCCTAATGGGAAGATAAGCATACAATGAGTACAAAGTGTCATAGTTCCATAGACGTCGCCCACTCTCGAACTTAGTCATTCCATCTTTTTATTTCTAAATTAAGAAGACATGTAAGAATATTTATTTCAACATGTTCTATCAATAGTAAAAATTGTTAACACTGCTAACATCTACTATTAAAGAAATTTATTTAATCATTGGTATGAAGAACTTATATGAGCCAATGAAAATTATAATTATGAAGGAAAATGGTAAAATTATTCTATAAAGTAGCTGGACTCCCATTACAAATTTAACATATGTATTAAAAGTAATGCACAAAAAACAGCTATTTTATATATGTGTGTATATATAATAAAATATATTGGTAAGATATTAACTTAAAAAATTGTTTCTAATCTTAACATAGTATGTTTTCATTAAAAATAAAGAAAGTGCAACCACTAGATTTTATTATACTATTCTAAATATGCCGTTTAGTGGTATATTTAATTGTCCATTAGCCTTAGACCATTTTTTGAGGAAGCTCCTTAAGTTTAATAATTAGATGTTTTTAATCATTGATTTCTCTTCACTTAGATGTCTGTGGTAAAAAATGCCTCTTCAGAGGCAAAATCTGAATCAAAATATGTATCACCCATCATCTATGAGCCAATTGTCCCTGAAAATGAGAAAGTGATCTGGGAAGAGCAGTTGTCTCCAGCAACAATTTCAAGTATGCAGACTGAGGACGATCCAGGAACAGCAAAGCACAGGGATCTTCCTAATGAAACACAAGTGGGGACCACTGAAGAAAACACTCCTGATGTGGACCCTGGTAGCCCTTCGACCCCAGTAAGGAGCAGGGATTCTGTCCATTCAGGCAGTAACCGGTCTGAATCCTGCATCGTTGCTTTAAACTCTTATCACACGAGAAATGGTTCTGATAGTGACCTTGTGGAATCCAACAGCTGCTTATCTGACTCCGAATCTCCTCCAAGTAGCAAAACTGAAATGAAGACCGGAGAACCAGAGCCCATAACGCCGAGAAACACTACTACCTCCTTTGGTTACGATAAGCCCCATGTGCTAGTGGATGTGCCTGTGGATGAAGGTGGTAAAGAGTCCCTGATTGGTTACCGAGATTGACAAAGAGTATCTGATTGGTTATAGCAGATTCCAAAGAGTTTCCATAATGTGCCAACTTGGAAGGATCTGCTTATCCTGAACAGTTTTTCTGCCTTGATTTCATGAAAAGATCATGATTTCAGAAATGATGTCTTTTTTTATATTAACCAAATGGAATACCTTGGTTTAGGTAACTGTGTAAAGAGCCTGGCACTGTCACATTTGGTCTGAAAACTGCAAAGACTGAAAAAACAAACTGTGTCTCCCTTCTTAGGGGACACAGTTATTGCACATGAACTTCTCCATTTACATGGGCTCTGAATACTCTCCATTAACCCTGCTTCCTGTGAAGTAAGTGATTCCCAGGGTCCTTTTTTTTTTTTTATTATATATAAGTTTCTGTAAAAAATATTTTTAAATGTTTACTTTCAGAAGCTTTTCAAAACTGCATTTAAAATTGAATTTATACCAATAGAATTAATAAAGAGTATGTAAATAGAAACATAATTTTTATAGAATGTTGCATTTAGAGATTTTTAAATAAAGAATTTTTAATTCATTTTTGTATTCATTTATTCAAGCACTTTGGCAGTTAACTAGAATATTTTTATTCATTTGCTTATTTTTATGAATTATTGCTATAGAATTATTTTTAAATTATTTATAACTAATCTTTAAAATAGTTCTAAAAATAGTCTTGTTCTTAAAACAAAACAAACAAACAAACAAAAAAAACAGTACTTTTATGCCTATATTTCAGTATTTATTACCCAGTGTGCAGAACATTGTTCCAAGCTGTTTGGGGGTAGGGTGGGGTGGAAGCAGATTGATTTCTAGAGCATGTGGACTGAGGAACCATAAAGATGGTGGTCAAAGTCATGGGAATGGGTGAAGGAGCCCTCAGAAGTATCAGGTGTGAAGAGAATTCCCAATGAGAGGCAAACCAAGAATTAGTTAATATCTATCTATATTACACAAGGAATTCTTGGGAATATTAAGGGTAGAAATTTTATATATTTTTAAAATATAATTTACATGAGTAGATTAACAGATTATAGAAAACTTTTTCTTCTCACTTAAAAGTGTAAATTAAAAGGAGGTGCTATTTTTGTCTTCCTTGACAGCAGCTGCATCATTCCAATCTCTCTTGTCACATGGCATTCTTCCCTGTGTGTCTCTGTGTCCAAATCTCTCTCTCTCTGTAAAGATACCAATCAGATTAGGTCACACTAACCCTGAATGATCTAATCTTAATTTGATTAGATCTGCAAAAACATGATTTTCAAGTAAGATCACATTCATTGGTACCAGGGATTAGAACTTGAATTTCATATTTTCATCTGATAAATTAGTTGCTCTGATAGTATTAAATCATCCCACTTTTCTGTGCTGATTTCAAATGTCACATCATATGCCAAATTCTCAGTACTATATCACACCCTTTTAATTATTATAGTTTTATACTGGGATATACTTTAACTTTTGAGGCTCTCCATTTCAAGCAATATACCTAATAAATTTGTCAAAAGTTGGTGACAGTGGGTAAATCACTTAGCCTCATAAGAGTTGCATTAAACTTCCTCTATCTTTTGGCTCTAGGAGAAAGTTATCCCTAACAAAGGGATCCTCTTCCTGACAATCCTGTTTATTAAATATTTTCTCTAAATTATTAATAGTTACCAAATATTGGTGTTATTGCACCATCATTCCATGCCAAGGTAAATTGTCTAAGAATACTGGCTGTGACACACTTAAGATACTGTTTTTTAATGGATGAATTAGATAATAAACTCCAACTTTGTTTGTAGGGTGATTAGTTAGCCTCATCTATGAGGTGCCATACTTGCTGTACAAACTTTCCCTTTCTATGCCACTATGTTCTGGATCTTTGATTCTTGGCCACTTTCTATGGGAACTACCAATCGGGAATAAATGAACAAACAAAAGAACAAATATATATTAAACTTTTAAAAAATACTCCATCTCATTTCATCTTTACAACAATTTATGAAGAGGAATTATTCCCATTTAGACGAGGAAACCATGAGTCAGCAAGTTAAGTGACTTGCTCAATGAGTAGTGGAATGAGGATTCTGCTTCATCATTTTTTTTCCAGTAAATCTCAGCTGCCTGCTGGTGGTAATTTGCATCTTTGATGGTAAAGAGATCTTAGAGAATGTACTGTGGTAAAAGATATAGAAGTAGAAATATTTTAGAGATAGTTAAAAACCAAAGGAGATGGGGTGGAAAGTAATCAGATAGAGGAATATAAAGCCAGTGATAGCAATCTGATGTTACCCATGCCCACAGGAGATAGAAGGATTGCTGGATTGCACTGAGGTCCCCATTGTAGATTAATGCTTAGGTTTGGGAGATCCTTTGATGTCGGTGTTCTTGTCCCAGCATTACAAGTGGTTTTCAGCAATCTAGAGAAAGGAGCTGCGCGTAGATTCAAGAAGGAGTCCAAAGACAAAAGCTAGTTTAGAAAGGCATTAGGGGTCAAAGGAGTTTTAGCCAAAGGAGGTAAAGACTTCCCCTTGACTCAGGACCCAGTGCTTTTTATTAACACAAACTGTCCTAAGGCAAGGTGGAGATAATACACTTCAAAGGGTAGGGTACAGAAGCATTGTCAGATTGGGGAATAGCATATAGCTGTTCAGGTGTTTGGCCAACAGGAGGTAATAACATTGCAGCTTAAGATGCCCTGAGTTGTCTGGCAGCAAACGATGATCCTATTCAGGTTCGGGGGAGATGCTTTTTCTGCCATTGCCACAGGTAAACTACATATGTGGCTCAGCCCTTGTTGAGCCCCCCAAGCGTCACCAACCTTTAGATGAAGCTCTTGTAATTATGACATGCTGGAACTGGTTCCCAGCACTTTGATATTCTCTAGAATGCTCTAAAACCAGGGAGCTGAGGAGTAAACAAGGCTAACATTTATTGAGTCCTTACTACCGTGTTTCCCCGAAAATAAGACATCCTCCGAAAATAAGACCTAGTGCAACTTTGGGAGAAAAAATTAATATAAGACATTGTCTTATTTTCAGGGAAACAGGGTATGTGTAGGCATTACGCTAAGAGCTTCACTTGTACACCTCATGGCTAAAACTCTATATTGCCTGTTTTTTATAAGTGAAGAAACTAAGGCCTGTAGGTGAAGAGTAACATCCATCACGTCACACATCTGGTCAGTGCAAAGCCACTTTTTTCAAAATCAGGGATGTGATTGGGGATTGCCAGAAACTGGAAGAAGAGGGAATCTAGAGCACCACTGAGTAGGTTGGCTTGGCCTCTTTCTCCTGCTGGTAAGAGATCAAGAAGAGCATGTCCCACAAAGAAGTGGGGAGAAGCATGTGAGCCTGAGCAATAAGACCTCACTGAAACTAGCACCCAAATGTAAAAACCATAGTTGGAGAAGGGGTGCTTTAAATTCAAAACCTCAAAGATGGATCAATTCGAAATGATTATGAGGTCTAAGAAATCTCTTCTTTCAGTCAATGTGTATTCAGCACCTAGTAACAACCAAGCACACACTGGTGGTCCAGATTCCAAATATGTATAGTCCAGTGGCTAATTAAGAGTAGGGGCTCTGAAGTCAGACCCTGAGTTAGAACCCCAAGTTTGCTTCTCACCAAATGATCTGAATTCTGTTACTTCTCTTCAGTTTACTATGAAGCAAGGATAGTAATACGGTAGGACTTTACTTATGATTATGAGATAATCTCATAGAGCCCTTAACACAATATTGGCCAGTGGAAGCACTTAATAAAAAATTAATTACCATAAGTGGGAAGGAAACAACAAATCATCAAGTTCTTAATTACAAAACTGACAAATGTAAGGAAGGAAAAGCAAGGGTTGGAGCTGGAGCATAACAAGGGGACCTAATTGAGATTGGGAATCAGGTCAGCCTCCCCAGGAAATGGCATTTAAGTATTATAAATTAAATGGTGGCTGCGGAGAGAGTGAGTTGGGAAGAACTTCCAAACCTAAGGAACAATAAATGTAGGATCCTGAGCTGCAAATTTTTTTCATATCTTAATGTACATAAGGATATTACTTTAATTTCATTTCTTTCTCTCTCATATCAAACTGTCCTTTCATCCTCACAGTTCAGGGGAGTATTGCTGCTTACAGGGGAGTATTGCTGCTTACATAAATGGTTTTGTTCTGCACTGACCCATAATAAGGAACAACCTAAACAGATGTTACAGCTTCCAGTTTATGTTCCCAACCCATTGTCCCTACTTTTGGGAATATAGGATTTTTTTAAATTGAAATATAACGGGCATAGCACATTATGTTTCTGATGTACAATATAATGATTCGATGTTTGTATATATTGCAAAATGATCACCACAATAAGTCACTTACCACTCATCACCTCATGTAGTAGCAACTTTATTTTGTCTTGTGATGAGAACATGTATGATCTACTCTCTTAGTAACTTTCAAATATACGATACATATTATTAACTCTAGTCAGCACTTCTCTGAATATATAGCATGTTTTAACTTTGACATCCTGGCAACTACCTCCAGAAATAGCCTTTGATGAAGCTGGAAATACACTGTAATGAATTACTATGGTGGTTATATAAAGCGATACAGTAAAATAAGACCCCCCCAAAAAGTCATTACTTTAAAAAGCAAAAGGTTTCTCTTACTCTCAGTTTCATGAGGATTTTAAAATTTTGCTTAGAAGAATACAAAATTTTGCACTGATATGATATTGTCTGGCCAGGTTTATCTTGGTTCATGAATAAATTAATACTAATCTATCACTCTGCCTGCCCTTCAACTCCCAAAAAGCAAAGCTGAAAGAGAGGGGATTTCCACATGATGCATGGTTGCATAAGTCAGCACCTTTTCCTTCTCTGGAAAGCATGAAAAAGCAAGTTGAGAATTAAAATTTAAACTCTTTTTCACTTGGAAATTTTATTTTTAAAAGTCTCTCTTTTAAAAAACACTTGGATCAGAAAAGGTAATCTAAACTGCAAATTGTTGAAGAAAAAAATAAG